TAACTCAGTTCGATATCTAATTCTACATTTTTATTTCCCAAATTTTTTTTCTAAAATGAATGTTATATTCAAACAAAAAAAAACCGCATGTTTGTCATTCCCCAAATTTAATGACAAACATAAGTCTAAAACTAGTAAGAAGACTCACCTGGGTAGGCAACAGAGTGTCGGTGGGATTAGCGAAGCTAGACCACAACTCCATGCCCGAATAATCGCTTAACAGAGCGAATTTCCGGCGTCCGTTATGTGCCCTCGAGAAACATTGGCACTACTAGTACTCAGAGGAAGTGAAGATCTCCAGAGCTGTTGACCGCGAGGGTCAGTGAGAACCAAACCACGACCTGCGGTTAGTGTAACCTTCGAACCATCAGGGACAAGACCGGTGGTTGTATTGACCTGTGCGTGCCACACGATGGTTTTGTCGGGAATCCTGTCGAACCATATGGAGAGAGTGAAACCATCGTTTGGTTGGATCTTGCGGAACCCGAAAGCGAAGTCACCCGAAGGAGAACGCCATGAACTGGATAATTGTTGGGACTCTGAGGCGGTGAGAGATTTTCCGACAGGAACAGAGCCGTTTCTGATGTTCTGAGACCAAACGAAAAGTGTTTGTAGTTGCAGAAGGAGAAAAAGATGGATTATCGAACAAGAGAGAAACCTCATTTTGGCCTAAAGCTTAGATCTTGAGATTATTTGTGTGCTTATACATATAGAAATGGAATTTTAAAATATTGTTGATTTGGTCGTTACTACTGAACGTAGAAGAAGGGTTAAAGAAGACTTTTAGAATGTTTTTTTTTTCTTTCACTGAGTCAACGGAGCAGATTTTGAAGAGTCAACGGAGTCTTCTGCTCCATACAATTCTGAAGGTTAGTCTTTATTTAATTTTTTTGTAAGTATTGTTTAGTACAAGTAGGGTTGTATGTTTGTTACGTAAAAGACTTTTTATTTTTCTTGTGTTTGGCTTTTTAATGTAAAATTTCAATAAAATTGGATATTGAGTCAAAACGAAGACTAATTACTAATGCTTTATGGAAGATGCGGGTGTTTTTGCAATGGTTTTAAAATCGGACCGGCGACCGAACCGGAAAAAACTTTCGGGTCGTGGGTTAATATGGTCTAACCGGGTTTAACCGGATTTAATAGTTTTTTAAAAATATTAGCTTATATATATTTGGTCTTATATATTTTTTTATTTGTATGTCCATACCTATCCGAATATCAAACAACACATTTCAATTATTACAAAAATTTGAAAAAACAAAAAAAATTCAATAGCAAAATAAAATTAATGATAGATACTAACAAATTGAAGCGTTTTGGTCTAAATCTTTACATATATAATTTAAAAATATTTTATATGGAAAAAGTTTACTATTTCATTAGTTTTATCAAAAAAAATTGGTTAAAAACTTATAACTAAATGAAAAACAAAAATTTTAATTCACAAAATTATTAAACCCGGTTTTATGTGGTTCCGGTTCAATCCGATTTTATATCCGGTCTAACTATAATTGAGTTTTAAGTTAACCCGAACCGGCTAACCCAAACCGGGCCAGTAGCCGGTTTCCGTTTAATCCGGTTTGACCCCGGTCCGGTCCGGTTTTAAAAACTCCAATGCACTCACATCTCTTTCAGTTTTTGTTATTTGATGTATTCACTTGACTTGGGATGATTAAAACTCCAATGCACTCACTTGACTTGGGTTGATTAAAACTCCAATGCACTCACATCTCTTTCAGTTTTTCATGTGAATATTTCAACCATTTTACTACCTTGAACTAACTTAAAAGGATAATTAAAAAAAAGAACACTTTTTTTTTTAAATTGGCTAACAAATTTTACCATTATCTTCTTTTTAAGATCATCCTATGATTTCTTTATAGAATTCCGATCTCTTTGAGTCTCATTTGAAGCATCAAAAATTTGTCCACCATAATTGATCTCTCTGTACATATAACACTAAAACATGTGTATATATTATGATTTTTTCTTTGTAGTATATATGTATACATACACTGCAAAAGTAAAAGAATATATATTTTGAAAGTTGTATACTAATTTTTACAAAATTAGAATTTATGTAGACAAATATATGTCTCACTTGAGTGGGTTTCATCTTCATACTCTCTTGAATTGT